AAGTCACTTAACCTCTCTGAGCCTCATCTGTAAAAATTTCCACTTCAGAAGATTGGTGAGTGTGTTAAATAAAAATAGTGTGTCTTGCACAGCATGTGGCATTTGGTAGGCTGAGTGGGTGAGTTATGGATAAGCACAGACTGGCAGGGTCAGCTGCAATGTAGACCAGAGGCCAGAGCTGCACTCCAGGGTCTTAAGAATGAGACTCAGACCTCTGAGGGTGGCAAAGGAACGCAGCACAGGCTGAACATGTTCTGCCAATCAGACTAAGCATTAGCAGAAAGTACTGGCAAAGGTTCAGTGATCTTTTATTACTCCTGGATCATGGGAGTAATAATAATCTGTATCTCTTTGAGCATTTACCGTGTGCTGGGCACTGTTCAAGCACTTTAACCTCAAACAGCCCCGTGAGGTCACTTTGGTTACTACTCTCCTTTTACAAATAAGGAGAAACGGAGGCACAGGGAAGTTAAGTATCTTGTGGTGGCGGGTACAGAGGCTGGGACCCAATCCCAGGGGTCTGGCTCTGCAGCCCAGACCTCTGGGGGGTTGGGGGGAGTGTGTCTGCAGATCACTGTCTCTCCATGCTGAGCTGGGAAGGAGCTTGCCCCAGGTTGCATGTCTGTTGATCCAGGGCCAGGAATGGAGCCCAAGCCCAGGGCCCCGTCTACCACCCCAGCTGCTTCCCCACAAAGTGGGATGGCGCCACCCGTCTTGAGATCTGAGCACTCAGTGCCCCTCCCTCATTCCTTCCTCCCTACTCTGCCCACTTAGGCAGGGGATGAGTAAAGGGGCTGCCTCAGCCCCAGGGGTCTCTGCCCAGCTCCGACAGGACAGTCCCCAAGGAGAGAGGAGCAGACACTCCCTTCTGCCCCCCCCCCTCTCCGTCCTGTAGCAGGGACACGGCTGTAGTCTCCGCCCCTTTCCTGGGCCCCTACAGAGGGGCAGTCTGTCTTTGACCCCCATTGCCCAACTCCCACACCAGCCCCACAGCCCCACAGGCTCGGACCCCAGCCCAGCCATCTTCCCTTGCAGCTGCACCCACACACGCAGCAGCACTGGGGACCCCTCCGCCTCAGGAACAATCTCACTTCAGTTGGCCCCTTGCGGGGGGAGGTGACGGGCTTGGCAGTGCCAGGCAGCACGGGGAGAACTAGGGGAGAACAAGCCCCTTGTTTCCCTGACAAAGGGCTGGGCTAGAGCTGGCTCTGCCACACGGAGAACCTGGGCCGGGCCCTGCTCAGCCCCGCACTGGCTGCGCCAGCCTCGGTTTGCTCATTTGTAAGATGGACGCAGGACTTCCTGCCCCCCGGCCCCCACCCATGGGGTCTGTGTAAGCCTCCCAGGAGAGGACATCAGAGATTGTGAACGGTGAGGGGTCTGTGCAATGAAGGCTGTAGGGAGCCTTAGCCTGTCCCCTGTCCTCTGACAGAGGGTGGCTCAGCGGCAGCAGTGAGGTTTCCCAACCCACCCCCATTTCAAAGCTGTCACCGGCTCCCAGAGCTGCTCTTGCCAGCCTGCCCCCCACCCCACCCCGGCCTGGGTGGGATGGGTGCGGGGTTCAGGGAGGGACTTGAGGGGACCTGTGGGCGGATGAGGTGGTCCAGGAGAGACCCTGGACATACTAAACTCCCCTTCCCCTGCAAGCACACCTGCTAACTCTCAAAGCCTGAGGGGCTATTCACAGCCTCCCCCAGTGCCCGGTCTGCAAGAACTGAGAAGGACACAGGAAAACCAAAATGCCCCCGGACCCCTCCCCCACATCTGACCTCCAGACCCGCCAGGCCTGGAAATGGCCCACCCACCATGCATGTCCCCAGTAAGACCAGGAGCCTTGAATGTCCCCTACGTGCAGACGCTGGGGCTGGGGTGTTTCCCTGAAGAAACTTCTCCTCTGCCCGAGAGAATTTCTGCCCCTGCCCTGTTGCCTGGGAAACGTAGCAGGAACTGATGTTTCAGCCAAGGCCATGAGAGCCTCCCCTACCTGCACCCTCAGAACCCACAGGCCGCTTCCTGCTGCTGTTTACCCAGAACCTCCCACCTGACTCTACCTCTGCCCTAAGCGGAGTCTGGGTTCTAACTTAGTTGTCACCAAAATGAGCTTCACAGTCCAACAGAAGTCCCTGCTCTGCCCACACTGGCTGGGTGACTTTGGGGAAGCCACTTAACCTTTCTGTGCCTTGGTTTCCTTCTTGGTAAAATGAAGCCAGTAACTTCACCTCCTCACAGAGTTGTTGTGAGGATTCAAGGAGACATAGTAAGTGTGCAGAATTCACCTCAGCAGAAACGTCAGCCCCTGCTACGTTTTCCATGGGACTGGGGAGGGGCAGGGACTCTAGGGCCAGCCCCTCGGCACTCAGCAACTGGGGCGGGGACGCTGGGCTCCCCTCCGAACCTGTGCTCCTCCGGTCAGGACCAGAGTTGGTTTCATACTGGCTGGTGTGGGGGCCTTCCTCCGCAGTCATTACACCTCAGTAATAACCGGCTGCTCAGGACCTTTCCAGAGGAAAGATGTGGACAGAGGGAGAGGAGAAATAGGGAGAAATCAGTGATTCCCTAAGGAATACCTGAGAGACGAGGCCCCAGAACAGGAAATGTCCTATATATAGGGGAGGGAAAAGATCTCAAAGATATATAGCATTGAGTGGGAAAAGCAAACTGCAGAATAAAATGTACAGCTTTAGGCCACTTAGGCAGGAAATAGGTAAATGTGTAGAAAAGATTAGAAGGATCAGAAAACGTCTTGAATGATGGCCATGAATCAGGGCCGGTTTATGTGTTTTTCAAATATTAACTCATCTGTTCTTCACAACAGCCCTACGAGGTGACTCCTATTATTGCCCCCCAATTTTCAGGGAGAAAGTGAGGCACAGAGAGGTGAAGTAACTTGCCCAAGGTTTTATAGCTGATAAGCAGGAGAATGAAGATTTGAACCAGGCAGCCCCCACTCCTTATTCACTATTCTGGGCTCCCCCAACACCCCAAACTGTTCGGAGTGGTTACCTCTGGGGAAGGGAGAGGGAGGGGGTGGTGAACTGGGAAAGGGGTTTTCATAGCTTCTTATTCCATTTTTGTATCACTTAATTCTCAGGATATTAATATGTGCTACTTGTGTGATTCTTTTCAAACAAAGAAAAAGGGAGCAGGGCAGCTCTTAGTGGTGTGTGAGGGGCCCCACCGGTTTTCAGTCATGTCCAGTGCTGGGTCCTCCCATGTCTACCTGGAGTCTGGCCCAAGCCTCGTCCTGCTCAGTACAGTGGTGGTTAGGCCAGCCCAGGACCCTGAGCGAGGACACTGATTGGCCACCAGAGGCACAAGGCCAGGGTCAGACGCCACAGGCCAGCTGGAGCTCTAGGGCCAGGACCCAGGACCCAACTCAGTTCCCGCTACAGCCCCCAGACAGGGGCCTTCGGTGGGAGCACAGTCTTCATACAGAGCCCCTCAAATTGCTCTTAGCTGAGGCAGGTCCCTACAATTGCTGGTGGGGCCTGAACTGCCCTGGGGATGTTTCTGCCTTCCAGGCAATCCTTTAAAAACAGGAGCAGGGAGCAAAAAAATACACATTCTCCATGAGCCAGCAACTCCATTCCTAAGTGTATGCCCAACAGAAAAGCATCCCCGTGCTCCCCAGAGGACACGCACTAGAATGGTCAGGACAGCTCTACGGAGAGTGGCCCAAACTGGAAAGCACCCACATGTCCATCAGTAGGAATATGGATAAAGAAGTGTGGGACATCCAAACACGGGAATGCTACTCACAGGTGAGTTAACCAGTTATTGCTACATGCAACGCAGATGACTCTCACAGACAACAGTGCATACGCATACAGCGTGATCAACGTATATCAAGTTCAAAAACACACAAAACAAATCTTCTGTATTAGAAGTCAGGATCCTGGTTAGCCTTGGGGGCAGTGACGGGGAGGTGGTACAGGACAGCTGGGGGGGTGGGGGGGGCAGGCAGCTAGGAATGTTCTGGAATTTGATGTGAGTATGGGAGACATGGAGGTGTTGAGAATGCATCCGGGCTGCTCACTCACAACTAGCACATTTTGTGTCTGTGTGTTATATTTTCATTTAAAAATATACATAAGAAGGAGGGTAGACCTTAAATAATTTAAAAGAAGAGTTGAACAAATTACCTTTCCACCCAAGTGTGGCTACAACTTTAAAATGTCTTTGGTGCCAGGCAGTTTCAACAAAACTGCCCAAGTGGAGCTGGGTACATCTTTGGAAAAGCAACTTGGCACTATGTATCCAAGCCTTAAAAAAATATCCACTGGCCTGAGGAAGTCATCCTAAATGCAGAAAAGGCTTTTCTGCGTAAAGATGCCTATCACATTATACAGAGAAAAATAAAAAACAAGCTCAATGTCCGGCAATACGATGGTTGGATAAATTATGGTGTGCCCCTCCTGGAGGAATGCTATGTTTACAGTAAGTAACATGGGGCTACTTCAAGAGACAAAACGTAGGATGCAAAATTGTATAGAAGATCTGATCATCACCATTGACAAATATGTGTAGAAAAACCGCTCGGGGTGAAATAGACAAAAATATTACTGACTCCTTTGCATGATACAGTCATGAGTATTTTGGTTTTTTCTTTTTACCTTTTGGAATGTTATTCTTTTTCTATAATGAACATGTATATATTTCTAGTGGGGAAAAATATTTTATAGTCATAGCTAATGCTTATGGAGTACTTACTACGTGCCAGGTATTGTTCAAAGCACTTTATTTAATTATCACAATACCTCATATGTGTGAGTAACCAGTACTGCCTCCCATTTAGAGATGAGGAAACAGGCACAGAAAGGTTGTCACTTGCCAAAGGTCACAGAGCTCATAGGTGGCAAGGCTGGACCCTGGCAGTCCGTCTCCACCACTCTAACCCTCGGGCTTAGAGTTTGGCCTTGGTCCCGCACTTGGGGTGGGGGGTGCCACGTTTTATTTTAGGGATTCCCACTGAAGAAGCCCCCCTCCAATCAAAGCATTTCAGCTGATCTCTGATCTCTTTCATCCAGCCCAGGGGCTGGAGGGTGCCTGGGATGATGGAATGGTCTGGAATCCCCAAACACAAACAGAAAAAAACTCTGCCCTTCCTCAAAGTGCCGGGATAATTTCCTGTATTCCCAGAAAAACACATGTCTGGCGGCTGAAACAACAAAGTGTGCGAGCCCAGCCAGCCCCGCAGCCAGCGCGCCTGTTTAAGCCATTTATTACGTTCTGGGCCGCTGTGGTCGGAAGAAGTTGTCTCCTGATCCAGTCTGTTACCAACGACCAGTGGTGCGGGAGCTGCACAGCGTGGCAGGGGGAAATCAAGCGACCACTAAAGGATGGCCTTTGAACAGGTGCTGCGGCTCCAGGAGGCAGGCGGATGGGCCCCCGGAGCTCCCGGGGAGGGGGGCGTGCCTTCCAGCCTTGGGAAGGGAAGAGAGGGAAAGGTTCCAGGATGGGGGTTTGTTTGTCTGCTCTGAGCCCTCTCTGGCAGAGGAGGCAGCAAAGGCAGGCCTGATGCACTAGGAAAAGGAACAAAGATGTCCACACAACCCCATGCCTCAGGAAAGGCCACTCCAAATTACCCAGGTGGTCACAGGTACCCGCAGGGCCGCAGAGGCCTCCGTGGGGCTGAACCCAAAGAGAACTCGGGTTGGGGAGGTGTCATAACATTCCGGGGAGCCAGCAGTCCTGCCCACAAGATGCTGTGGGCACTTGCCATCAGATCCTGGGCTGACCCCACGTCTGAACCTAGCCTCAGCCTTTCCATCAGTGCCAGGGGTCGGCAAACTTTTGAGATGGAAGAGCCGCCAGGGGTCAGCAAACTGAGCCGCAGGCTCTGACGTAAAATTGACAATGAAAATAAAACTATCATAGTTTCACTTATAAAAATTTTAAAGGATATTATTCACATAATGGTGATTATGTAAAGGCATATTTATGGCTCACGAATAATTTTTCAATTGTTGTGAGGGACAGGATTGGCTCTTCCAGAGGTCGGCAAACTTTTGAGACGGGGCCGTACCCGAAGAGCCGCATGTGGCTCGCGAGCCGCGGTTTACCGACCCCTGCATCAGTCAAGCTGTGAGGGTGAAAGCATGGGCAGAGGGCAGGTATCACCATTTGGTCACTGTTTATTGTTGCTTTGTCCATGCTTACTGGACAAGTTTCCACACACACACACCCTATCAAGGCCCCAGGCTGGGGCACAGCAGCCTCGTGGTCACCCCGGCTCTCTCTCCTTATTGGACAGGGCAGGACTGCCTTCACCTGCTTTTCCAATTACTCAGCACCCTATTTGTTTCCTCTCCAAAAGCCCTGGGTTTTCAAAGATCTCCCTTTCCAAAACTTGTAGATCACATCATTCACTGCAGTGCTATGGGAGAGGCAGGTGGGTAATGATGGAGGGGAGATCATTAGCAGGCACTGGAGATGCTTACTAATGCAGGTTGTTATTATCTGCCCAGGGGTTCTCTAGAGGTCATGAAAGGCAGCAACCATGGGGACCTCCGGCTCCTTCCCATATTGAAAAAGAGCAAATGGAAGTCACACTCGCCCCTGGTAAGTGTGCATTGTTTGATTGGAAAGTATTTGGTACCAGAAACAGGAATGGGGTCAGTGGTACCTGCTTTCTACATTTTACTTTAACATTTTGCCCTTTTTCCTTTTTATTGGGGTATAATTTATCCCAGCAAAATGCACAGACCTAAAGTGTATCACTCAATGAATTTTTACAGGTGTGTACCACGTGTAATCACCACCTAGATCAAGAATGTTTCCATTACCCTGGAAAGTTCCGTCCAGGACCTTCCCCTAAAGGGACCCTCCGGTCTGACCTCCAGCACCATGGCTGAGTGTCACCTGACCTTGGACAGACACAAAGGTCATCATGCAAGATGTGGTCCTCTGTATCTTGTGTGCAACTCTGCCAAGTGGGAACGCTCTTGATGCAGACTTACCAACCCCTGTTTCTAATGAATAAAGATTGTGGAACAAATATGAATTACAGGAGGAAGCTAAGGCTCCAAAAGAGTGGTTTGTACAACGTGGCAACAAAACAAGACTCGAACCCAGGACACGCTCCCTTCAACCACCCCAGGACCCAGTGCAGGATGCTGCAAGGAGCTGCAGGGCTGAGGCAGGAGGGCATGCAGTCAGGGCTTGTTTCTGAATCTCTGTTGAACCCAGGCAGGAGGTGGGGAAGAGGGGAGCTGGGAGCTCCTGCGTAGTGGCCTCCACTGCCCACAGCTCCGGCCCATCAGCCATGCGGTCCAGCTCAGTCCCACAGGAAAGGGTAGGAGTGGACACCTCCTGGCTGGCTGGCTGGCCTGCTGGCCCTGGGGCAAGGCAAGGCAATTGTGCAGCAAAGGGGACAGCTTCAAAGGCGGTCCCAGACCAGAGGTGCCTGTCCTGTCTCATAAGGACCAGCTGGACCCTGACAGGAAGCCTGCCCCAGGAGGACTGCCACTGGACTTTGAAGGATAGGGTGAAAGGGGAACATGTGTCTGAGGGGAGCATGGAGAGGAAAAACCAGAAAAGTCCTGGGGCAGGGTCCACTCTTGTGATATGCACAGATACAGCCCAGCCATACATGCAGTCAGTGTCTGTCTGTCTCTCTCTCTCTCTTGCACACACACACACACACACACACACACACACACACACACACACACACACACACACAAGCCAGATTCCTCACCCTGCCTCGCAGTGGGCAGCTGCCTTTCCCCTGGGCTGAGTGGGTGAGAGGATGAAAGCCCTCTCCCCTGCTCCTCTGCACTCCACTCCTGGATGCACCGTCCACTTGAGCATCCTGCCTGGATCTACACTGATCTGTTCTCCGGTTGTTTCCTGGCCACCTACCAGTCTCCCCAGCTACAAGAAAGCTTCCAGAAAAATCAGCTTTCTTCTTTGGAAACTCCAGCCCATCCCACCCCCTCAGACTTGCCAGAGCGAGACTCAGGGCCCTCAAAGTCTGCTGGCCCAGTGACCCCAAGATCTGCTCAATTATCCCCCGTTCTCTCATGCAGCAAACACTCGCTGAGTCCCTACTAAGGACCAGGCACCGTGCTAAGCACGTGACCTACGTCAGTTCTCATCCGTCCTCCACAAACACGTCACAGGACAAATAGCACCTCTGGCAGATGAGAAAACCAAGGCTCAGAAATGCTACGTGACCTTCCCAAGGTCACACTATAAGAACACAGTGAAATGAGGCCACAAGCCCAGGTCTCTCTTAGGTGTGTGGCCACCACCAGCTCCAGGACAGATGAGGAAACCAGGGCCCACGGGGTAGACGCACGGAGATGGGTTATCGTGGCAGCCTTATGGACCCAGCCTTTGCTTTTCCATCTGCCGGCCGCTTAGGCAGGAAGGCAGAGGCACGAGGGGCACAGAGAAGCACAGAGCCACATGCACAGAGGCTTCTGGCTCCGGTCTGGCTCATTCGAAACCCAGCCCCAGTGCCTAGGCCACCCCGCCCCAGCCCTCCCTGCCCCAGGCCCTGGCCCTCAGTGCACTTGACCCCCCAGTGCCTGCGCTTGACCCTGCTCTGGGGGCCTCCTCTCCTTCAGCGCCTGCTGCCCCGGCTGCACGTCGTCAGCCTCTCCAGCCTCCCTGCAGCTTGTAGATGGCAAACGGACTCCTACTGTTTGCCTACCTTTTTGAGAGTTTAATCTGCCTCTGAGTACTTTGAAAACAACCTCTTCATAACTAAAGTATCCAGGCTTTGCTAAATAAAAGATGACACTGGAAGAGGGCAGGGGAAAGGAAGGAGGGAACCACCTATGGCAGGGACAACTGCATTAAGTTCACAGGAGGTGGCCTATTATTGTCTCCTGGGTACGAACCAACAGGGGTTAATTATTACTCATACCAAGTGCTTAGGAGTTGATATATATTGCTGATCCAACCCTCAAAGCAACACCACTCACTCATGAGGAAAGTAGTACTTTATCCCCCATTTCACAGAGGGAGGAACTGAAGCACAGAGAGGCTGAGAAACTTGCCCAAGGTCACAGAGCTGGAAGGCAGTGGACCTGGGGCTCCTGGTCAGGGCGTCTGCACACCCAACCTCTGCCTGCTCAGGCTCATGAGTGCACGGAGGACTAGTCTCCATTCAGTCCCTCCTTCCCCTCAAGGCACCACTCTCCACCCCCACCACCCCAAAACCACCAGGGCCACCCCCTGCAGTCCACCCCTCATGCATCCCCCTCAGCTGCATCTGGTCTTTCTGAGTCTGCTCTCTCGTGGGCAGACAGTTGGGTTCAATGGAATGCTCATATGTTCTGGACACCGACAGACCGGAGTTCAAGTCTGGTTTTGCCACTTAGCAGCTGCGTGACCTGATGAAACAGGATGGCATCTCCCTCAGAGTAGGTGAGGGGATCAGAGGAGCTGAAGTGGGTGATGTGCCTGGCACCTGGGAGGTGGTCCATGGGTGTTAGTTCCCTGGCTGGGTGAGCAGCGTAGATCTCGACGGAGTTTAGATGGGAAAGGGCCTTTCGAGTCCTCGCCACCCATAGCATGGTCCCCAGGCATCACATCCCCTGGAAGCTGGTTAGAAATGCAGATGTGCAGGCCCCAGCCTAGACCTACTGAGTCAGGATCTGCCCTTGGCCATGGCACCCTAGGAGATCTAGGGGGCCATTAAAGTCACTTTACTTGCAGCCCTCTGGAGGTTTGGTCACCTGGTCCCAAATTTGGTGACAGGTGGGAGGAGACAACAGGGAGGTACAGGTTTCTGGTGGAGAGCGATACTTCAAGGGACAAGCAGGGCCCTTCTGAGACCCACAGTGAACCTGAGCAAACAGCCCTGACCCTCAGGCCCAGGAGCCAAGGAGGCGGCAACTTAGGGCCCTAGGGCTCACCAGGCGCTCCGTGGGTGCAGGAGGCACAGTCCAGGCTTATGGGGAACCAGCCTGGAAGCTGGTGTGGTGGAAAAGCAGCCCAGACAGACCAGGTGAGGCCCACGCACACACAAACACAGCATCTCCTCCAAACACACCGTACACACTACCATCCCATACACACCACCCCAGGACCTGCCTGCCCAAAGCACGGCTCCAGCACTGAACAGACAACCCGGGGGACAGTGTGTGCCTGTGCGTGTGTGCCATGTGTTCCCCAGGAAGCATGGGGGGTGCTGAAACCCCCTGCAGCCTGCCAGGGAGACCACGTGTTCCTGCTTCTCACCTGCCTAAGCCTCAAATCCATCTGAGCAATGAGAAACCCAAGTCCTGCTCACCTGAGGTTGACAAGGACCCACATTTTAATTGCTCACCTGCAGCATGCCTGCTAATCACCCCCCATACATGAAACCCACCACCACAGGTTGCTGGGGGGTACCAAGCAGAGTGGAGCTCTGTCCTCAGGGTCCCCAAGAGGCAGCATCACACAGGGCAAGCTGTGCCCATCTCCCCCCCACACACACTCATACAGAATGAGAGCAAAGCCCACGCTCTCCCCGACCACACAGCTGCAGGAGGGACAGGGACCCCTTTCCACCTTACCCTCGGATGGGTGACAGCTCTCAACTCTACACTCCCATCTTCAGTTCAGAAACACACACCCCACTGACCTCTTTCACCTCTGCTGGCTGGACTGCCAGGGGCCCCTAAGCTCATGCAGTTTCCAAAGAAACCCTAAACATGGGGCCGGGACCTCAAGCAGGCCTAGGATGCCCGGGAAAGAACCGTGGACTGGGGGGGTCAGTTGGGGCTACTCCAGGGTACGTGATGTCATCGGTTCTGGAAAGGCCCTTGGCCCCAAAATATCTCCCCTCTGGGTCCGGAAATCCCTCCCAACCCTTTGAGAGTCTCTGCCAGGAGAGGCTCCCACCTGAAGCTCTTGTCAGCTCACACCCCTGGGAGAGGCGGCTGACAGCTGGCCTGAGAGTGGCGAAAGAAAGCGAGGGGAGGGTGAGCACCAGATGGGCAGTGCTCAAAGCGGGTGACCATCATCTCGCCAGGGCTCACAGGCTGCCCTGCCTGTGAGCTTCCACCAGAAGGGGGCACTGCCCTCCCAACACCCCAGAAGGCTGGTTCCCCAGGAGCCAGTTCTCTTCTCCAGGGAAGGGGAGGTCCAGCAAGGGGCGGGGCCTTAAGCACCCCCCTCCGCATACATTCCAGGGGAAATCAAGTCCTGTCCTAACTGTCCCCTTGAGGAAGGCAAAGTGCTGGCAACCAGGAGGGGGTGGGAACCCTGAGAGAAGGGAGGTGGGTGGACAGGGGTGGGATTTAACCAGGTTCCAAAATAGCACAGTTGGTTCTGCCTGGCTTCACCCTGCGCAATGTCTGGCAGCTTCTGCTTTCGGTCTGACTCACGCCTGGTGGGGGCAGGACAGGGCAGCCAACGCAGACAGCGGCCTCTGGAGAACCACAGGCTGTTCTCCCCTCACTACACGCACCTATGGCGGGGCTTCCTCCCCCGCCCCACCTGCGAGCCGGGCTTCTGGAAATAGTCACTAGGAGCACAAAACCCAGGGGCTCCCTCGCCTGGGTCCTATCCCGTCCTCTCCCATCCCAGGGCTTCTCCAGTCATGGCAGCTGCCCCAGCCCCAGAACCTGGGTTTGCTTCTGCACGGCCCAGGTACACCCCACCGGTACCTCCATCACATCTCCATCAGGGAAACCAGAGGAGACATGCCCTGAAGATCTAGCTCTGCCCCCACAGGAGAAATGACCTTCGATAGTTACGGTCCCACCAGCCAAAGGAGTGAGAGAGCTGCGCCTATTCCCACCCCACCCCCCCAAGGTATGAGAGAAACAGCACGGTATTACTCTCAAAATGCGCACCGCGGTTCACGCACCCCTTTTTTTCTGTCCTGAACTCCACGAGCAGCACTGTGCTCTTGGCTGAGCAGAGAGAGGAACCGAGGGCCCTGGGTTTTGTGCGTGTTGGGTGGGGGAGGAGCACCAGTAACTCCATTCTCCCCTTTCAAGATCTTCCACCAGCTCTAGCTCCCAATCCTCCTCCTCCCCGGCTTCCACCATAGGAGGCAGCTGCCTTATAGTCCTCCCCGGATCAAAGATGCGGAAGCCCCAACCTGAGACACCCACAGAAAGCCTCGTCATCAACTCCACCTCTCAGTCCCTGTGCAAATCGACTCCATCCTCCCAGCCCTCCCAGCAACACGCCTGCCCGGAATAAGTACAGCCACCTTTCTATCCAAGTGGGG